AATTTCCTAGTCGTCAGTCACCCCACCCTTCCGTTGTATCTAGCCTCAAGCCACCTGCTCTTACCCTTCCCTATTTGAGCCACCGCACTAACACCACCGTTGTCCCCAGATCTTTCTACCAGGCCCTAGTTGGATATTGGCATTGTTGTGTTTTCTATAATTTTGATTGTAATCCGATTTACTTTGAGTAATTATATTTATTTTTGTTTTGTGGTTTTGATTAAATTCTGGTATCAGAGGTTTATTGGTAGCGAGGGGGAGGTGGGTTAGCGGCTGGACAACAAACAAAAGGTTGATTTGCTGGAGCGTCTGATAGTAAGCCTGGAAAGTGGTGTGGCAACTAGACAACAAGTAGAGGGCTGCGATAAAGTGCGACAACTAACAACAAGGCTATGGGAGCTTGTGACAACCGTCAATGAGGCTGTGGGAGCGTGCGACAATAAGCAGTCTGCATTTGACAACAAGCTAGAGGCGTTGGAGGGTGGTAGCTAGCCAGAATTGGATTAGGTTGAATGGACAACAAGCAGAGGATTGTGGGAGGGTGCGGCAACAAGCAACGACGGCTAAAAGATGTTGTCGCAAGCAAAGGAAAGCGGGAAAGAGAAGAATATGAGGAGATAACCACCATATTGGAGCAGGATACAACCGAAGCACAACCTGACCTCAGATATAGCCTTAGTAAGGGAAAAATACGCCGACGACAGAAATTTAAAATCAAAACTACCATAAAACATAGAAAATAACATACAAATAGTCTTAGGATAAAAAGGAGCGGGGCCAGATCCAAATAGGAGGGAATTGTGCGCTTAGGAGGTCCACCCGCTCCCAATTCCGCCTAGGTAGAGCCAAACCCGTGCGGCAATTGCTGCGCTTGCACGAGTATCAACGTCCCCACGCCGGTCTTTGGCACCCCTGCCCAACGGGTAGAGGCGCCCCCGCGCCCTGCATAATTGAGTTAAATTTTGTTTTATTAACTCAAAGTGTTGAATTCAAATTGGCTTCAACTAAACTCAAAATGGTTCGAATTTATGAACTCAATTATACGAGGCGCCCCCGTGCCCCACATAATTGAGTCAAATTTTGTTTTATTAACTCAAACTGTTGAATTCAAATTGGCTTCAACTCAACTCAAAATGGTTCGAATTTGGGCCGACTCTAAATAGAGGTAACTTAAAATTGTAAAAATATAAGGTTGGAGGGGCCTAGCATCTCTCGCGTGAGCTACAAGGTGTCAGTCAAATATACCGTATATCTTTATTTTTTTAGAAGAAGGATTTCTAGATGATAATGAAATCTCATCTATATGGTTTTTTTTTTTAAATTCTTTTCTTTATATATTCTTTTGAAAATTTCTTCTTCTTCTTTAGAGAAAAAATAAGATTTGGATTATCAAGCATTCATCTCTTCATCTTATTAGAGTAAGGGTAAAGATGAAATCATTGAAAGAAAATAGGCATTTTGTACCATCATAGTAACTAAGTGCTTCTAGATCGCAAGTAAACTTGTGCCGTCAACATAAATATTTTATTGTGATCAAACTTAAATAAATTATAAGTATAGGATACTGATACCCATCTTTTATAGAGACAAATAACTAATGCCTTACAATTGCAAGTTCATAAGAATGCACAAAGATGCTGCTCATTTATGTAGTATACAGAAGACAATCAAAACAATAGAAATTAGAGGCATTTACATAAATACCGCGCAATTCTTATGCATTTACATATCTAACACAAACTTTTATAAAAGTGAAGTACATCTTTTCATGAATAGGCTCAAGACATCAAAGTCATAAAACTGTAAATATCAAATTTGGAGTGTCAGATATCTAAATACGAAGGAATTGTGTGGTAAGAATGTAAATTACCAAGATATTAATAGTAACGTAGAACTAACCTTAATGCCATGTTTATTGCAAATGCTTTCCGCAAGTAGAAGTGTATACGCTGAATGCTTGTCAGCTTCGGATGAATCTGCAAGGAATAGGTCATTTTAATATCTTGTTGACGGAAAGTGTTCACATAGGCATACCTTTGGTCAACCACTCTCTATCAGATATTACAACGATTGATAATGGAATCCCTTTCGTATTCTTGGATGTCTTACTGAGATTCAAAATAGATTCCTTCAATGTTTCATAGTTCATGGGATTCCCAACCTGCAATAAATGCTTATTAGCCTATCAATCCTTGTTATGGGGATGTTAAGATAGAAGGGGGCCAGTGATAATGGAGGCATCATACCCTATGATGAACCTTAATATTTTTCAATTGATTTGGTACTGTAGGTTTTACTCCGCTTCTTTCACTGATGGTAGCCTCGGAAAGGATTTCCTGCAAGATTTGTGATTATTTAAATAATAGCCACATCAGTATACCATGCCCCATCTTAAAATTTAAGTTCAAAATTCCACCCAAATAAATCTGGTACACATATATGCTAAAAATAAGATGGGGGCATATTTTTTAATAATAAAATTTTTTCCTCTTTAATTGCTGGTGAAACATCTTTTATTTCTCTCCCTGTAAATATTCCACACAGCGAAAAGAAGAAATTATCCCACACTTAAAGTCTTTCATAATAAAGGAATTTCTCCACAATGAAACAGTATGGTGAAACATGGACATCTTTCTTTATAGAAAATAAAAGTCCAATCTCAAATTTTGGATAATGAAACTGTAGTCAAGGAAAAGATAAGAATTATCCTCCCCTGAGAATTGCACATCACATCGAAATATCGAGACACATATGAAGAAATGCTTTACTAGGAAAGACAAATATTCAGCGGAACCAGGACCTCTCAAATTCAAGTGTATGATGTACGAGGCATATTTCTATGATTAGGAAAGAACAAAAAGAGCTTACTAAGAATATTAGAATTATTGTTAAGCAACCACTGCGGACAATTTATATTGGAATGAAGATATATCCAATCCCAATCATCGTAGAAATTAGTCAACATTTTTAAAAGCATGTGTTGTGCCCTTCTATTGAATATTCCAACCAATTAAATTGATAAATTGAGATCTCACAGAGTAATTCCAGTTCTAGGATAAATTGAGTGGATGAAGATAAAGAGTGGCAAGGTACATAAACCGTGAATCCATTTGTCCTTATAAATTTAACACTATCACCATTTTTAATGTTTAAAGAAATCTCATGGAAGAAAGAAATAATAACTTTTCTACCCCCCTTAATAAAATGGGAACAATAACAACCTTTACTAGTCCATAAATAATAGATGAGATGGGCCACTCTGATGCTTGCTTTTGATAATCAAATTAGGAAAAGATTAAGAATTTCCAAATCCACTAGGACAAAAGGAAGGTGTTCACATCAGTACACAGGTGGTGGTCTCCCGCATTGGGCGGTAGACGATGGTGGGATTACCCGTGTGGAATTGACGTTACGGGAATTATCCCACTAGCATAGGAGGAGGGGCTATTTTTTCTTATTTTGAATTACAATTAGGGTTTCATTTGTCTTCTTTTTGAATTATAATTAGGGTTTAATTTATGTCTTAGTATAAGCATGTTATTTAGACATGATTTTGCTTTGAGTATGTTATTTGGGAATTATTTTTTTTTTGGTAACGTCCTGTTTCAGCTATCCGATAGAGAAGACATAATGAACTTAAAAGAGGAAAAGAGGAGTCGAGCAGACGAACAAAGGAGAGAGGAAGCGAGGGGATTGGAAGCCAAACAAAAAAGTTCACCCTATAAATCGATGCGAGATGCGAGAGCTCTAGTGCATGCAAACAAAGAGCAAATGAAAGAAGAAGGAGAATGTGTTGCGTGTTTTCTTACCCGAAGAAGCAATGCAATAACCTCCTGCACTATGATCGAAGGAATATGAGAATCGCCGCATTTCTTTGCAGTGTCGAGCTGCGACTAAAGGTAGGAGGAGAGCCTAGCACCGCGTGTGACGAACTTGTAGCGCCCTAATTTGAGAGAAGTAGACGCCAAAGGAGGAAGAAGCGTCTCTGTTGAGTGGGGAAGAGGAAGTGGGAGACAGAGGATTGAATGTTTGTGGTAACGTGACCGAGCCAAGAGAAGAAGTGTGAGTGTTTGGAGTTTGATTGAAGGAACACTCAAACAGAGAAGGAGAAGATGTGTGATCCAATGCGTAGAGGAGCAGGCGGAATCACGTGAGAGAAAAAAAAAACCTCTTCGTTCGCATGGTTTAGGGCTCTTGACTGAGGAAGACTAGTTTTAATAAAACTTGTTAAAATAATTTATTAATTAAATTTGTAATAACATAAACAATAAAATTTAATTTTAATATGACTGTCATGTTTATTTTAGGCTTTCAATTTTAAAAGGGTCGAGGTTAAGACAAATTCAAGGACAAATCATTTGTCATCAAGGTGAATACTCATATTCTTCTACTATAGTAATATTTTGTTTTTTATCAACCAAAATGCATTTACTGTTATTGTTATAGTACTATATACCCATGATTTATGATTCTAATGAATTTTGTTTATATTGTAAGAATGACACGTGTGCTTAATTTGTTGATATTAAATCTTATACAAATATATTAAGTGCTACAAAAATGAGAATGTAATATTTATTATTAGAAAGTATTTATCATATGCTTGTACGAGTATGATTAACAAGATGAAGTCACTCTTCTATGATAGTATGGAGAACCCTATGGTACCCATGCACGTATATAAAAAATGATAATGATATTGAAATACCTTAAGTAGTATAATTTTTTGTTTCTTCTTGACCAATGTATTTAGTGTTATAGCATTGTATACCTATGATTTATGATTCTAATGAATTTTGTTCATATTGTAAGAATGACATGTGTGCTAAATATGTGGATATTAAATCTTGTACAAGTATATTGACAGCTATGCAAATGAGAATAAAACATTTCTTATTAGAAAATATTATTTTATTATATGTTAGTATGTGCATGATTGACTATGATGGAGTCACCTCTGTATGATACTAGTGGGGGAACACTAAGGTACTCATGCACGTATATGAAAAAGAAAATTGATATTGAAGTATCTTAAATGGAATAATTTTTTTGACGGTGCTCCTGTGACAGTTATATATATATCGAATGATATTGACATGCTGTTGATATAACAAAATTCTTTAAATAACATCGTAAATATTTATATTAATTTATTTTAAAACAAATCATGCATATTACTTTTTTTCTTGTATTATTATAATTTAGGAGTATGAGTATTCACTAACTTGTTTAGCTAACTGTTATTATTTTTAAACTAAATTTTTAGGTTAATTTAATTAACTAAAAAATGAACCATAGAAGAGATAATGTTTATAAAAAATAAAAATAACCAGTAACGAAGTAAATTTAAATATATTGTTTTAATTTAATTTAATTAGTGAATCTTTCATTTGCTAAATAGTAATCGAATATAAAAAGTTTATTTCTCACCGTCCGAGTGTCTGTTATTGTCCTGGTTAATTCCAAACCCGAGCTGGGTCGTAACAACCTACCACCTGGATTACCACCTCCTTCCCAAGCGGCCAGTCTACCGGATGCGAACAATAGAGTAAAAAAGAGTTGTACAAATAAGTTGAAGATCTAATAACTAGAGGACTATTTGTAAGACTAGTATGTGCGCTATACTAGCCTTAATTGTGCCCAAAAAATGGATCAAGTGACATGTGCATTGATAGCAGGGCGGCGAACAAGATCACCATTAAGTACCACTTTCCAATTCTAAGATTAAATGATTTGTTGGATCAGTGAATGGAGCTAACATTCTTTTCAAAAAAACTATTTGCATAGTGGCTACCATTAAATTCAGAAGAGACTCGGGGATGAGTGAAAGACTGCCTTTAAGATATCGGATGGACTATATGAGTGGATAGTCATATCTTTTGGCCTCTCCAACATCCCGATAACCTTTATGAGGTTGATGAACTAAATTTTATGAGCTTTCATAAAAAAAATTTGTGATTGTTTACTTTCATAAAACACAGTGCTTCTCAAGTCAGACATATTCACTTGGGCACATGAAGCATATGCTAATTTTGATAATTAGAAGAAGCAAGTTACTCAGGTCCATATCACAACCCTAACAAATTTTAATTGAGAATTCGAAGAAGTGTAATGCTTCAATGTAAGAATTAGAGCTATATTCAGTCAAGGTGGACATCATATCGCCTTTTTAGTTAGAAGTTGAATGACTCCATGCAAAAATATTCCACCACCGACATGGGGTTTTATGCCACAATAAAAGTTCTTAGTCATTGGAGTCATTATTTGTTAGCGAATAACTTCAATTTTTATAATGATTATGGAGATTAAGATTCTTTAATAGTTCGAGCAAGTTGAAGGATAGAAATGCCTCCTGGGTGGAGTTCCTTTCTTCAGTCCATTTTGTGCTCTAACAAAAAGTTCAGAGTAAGAATAAGAAAGCTAATGCCTAATCACTACTATGGAGTTGAATGTAACATGCTTTAAAGTGTTGAAGGATTTGTACTCTACTTATGGAAATTCTATGAGATTTGGATTCATTCTCAGAAAAAATCCTATGGGCAGTATTAGCCTCTTTTATTAATTTAAGAGAACTTCTATTGGCCTATATTTATTGTTTCACAACAAGGTATCTAATGACCCAGGTAATGATGACAAGATGTTTCCTACTCGAGGAGAATGAATCTGATATCACAATGTTGAAAGGGGTCTCCACTGTCCACCTAACAAATAGAGATGGGATTTTTTCCACATGGTATTGCCGTTATAGGAATTATCCAACCTAAAGATGTGAAGCGGCTCTGTGGACCCCTATTTTTCCTTATTTTCAATTAAAATTAAGGTTTGATTCATGTCTTAGTATAAATATGTTATTTTAGAGCGTGGTTTGGACACTTTGCTTTGATAAAGTTATTTGGAGATTATTTTATCTGCTTTTTCCTATTTGAAGAGTCGTAACATTTTCTCCTTTGAATACTCTCTGACAATTGTACCTCATCAAAATTGATGTCATTTGGTGTTTCCCTATTATTTCCCTATTGAACAACCACCACAATAGGTTTTCTCCCTCCAATCCTTGTCAATTCTCAGATTATTTTCCTTCTTACTATTCTCGAAACATCCCCAACACGTATTTTTATCCTCATACTCCTTCTTAAAACCCTATAACAATATCATGTTTATAATTGGTAAATCTTTAATGTTAAGCCCTCCAATTTTTTGGATCAACAAGCGTGTATCTGCCCTTGCATACATGCATACATATATTCATGCACACATACATGCATTCATGAATAAACCCATGAATCCAAGCAGAAATCAGCATAAAAACCAAATTACATATATGATACAAAGACAAACCAATGCATACATCCATCAATACAAACATGCATCTAAATATAGATCACCAAAGATTTCAATTTGTTCTCAGCCCAACTTATCCTGATCTCAATCTTAGAAGGCATAGCTTGTTACTTAGCTCATTCATTTAGATACTAACTTAATCCAAGACATATGCATGCACGGAAGAAGAAACAATATAACAAGCTATTGGAAACTGCAGTAATATAGTAAATTAAGTGCAAGCCCAAAATAGAGCAAACCAAGTATAATACAAAAAGGGCATCTTATGTAAAGATCAAAAGCTTTGTTCCCATCAGACTGTTAAAACTAATTATATAAGAACATCATACGGGAAGATATCAGTAAATGCATTTGAGTATTCATAACCATGAGCTGGTATTTCAGATGTAGTTAAGCTATAGAATTGTTGTAGATTGGTAAAATACCACTATACTGCCAGGCCCAAGATAACTATCATATTCCTTGATCATTTCACAAACATTTGGCCTCCATCCAACCATAAGGATGCACTCTTTCGGTCCAAGATTCCAATCACTTGCCTGGAGAAAGACAAACAGATTCAGCAACAGATCTAATGAGAGTTTTTCTGAGAGAAAATTATCAATGCTATTGTACCTTGGATGTTGATTTGGAAGGACGCTTTGCAATCCTGTCAAAGCGTGCTTTCCTCAACTCAAGGATCATAGATGAGGTCCCTTGTTCTGCAACCTTCTGATTTCCAGAAGCAACAGACTCCATAGAAGCAGTTTGAGGGAGCAAAATTTGAGGTTTTTGTTTCCCCAAAACAGGTGCTATAAGCAAAATCTACAAAATAAATGAAATTATAATATAAAACATATGAATTTGTTAATGCCAATAAGGATATGATACAAGCACTAGAACTTATGGAAGGTAACTTTTGCATGTTAGCGGATAATAGAACCAGTTACATCCTGACTTTTTTTTTAGTAGTATGATCACTATTAGATTTATTTATCTATTTTGAAGATTTTGCAAATAGTTATCGTATGAACTCCAAAAATTAGAATGCAATTAGTTCCCTTCAGAGTTTGAGGAATTACCCTCATTTGTTATGGAAATTGTTCAAAATTGCATGAATTTATCCATAGGGCATACCATTTCATAGTTTTCATATTTGTATTGGAGCATTCCCTTTTCATTTGTTATGGGAATTGTTCAAGATTGATTGAATTTACCAATAGGGCATGCCATTACATAGTTTTCATATTTGTATTGAATGTGACTAGACACTACACAACCTGAATTTGTAACCATTGTTGTTAAGCACGCATTGAAGCACGCTGCACGCCACTTGAGCATGAAAGCATTACTTAATTCTTGTTACTACATTTTTGCGCCAGCAAATCACGGCTTTTGGTTTCAACTCGTACACTCGATTGAGTGGCCAATTTAACACAGAATAAGAGGGAAGAAGAATAGCTACTCCTCACTTAGGGTAGGCGATAAGACTAACAGAAGAACCAAGACCTTCACATCTCCATTTCAGGTTCACTAATTTGGTTTCTTATCCACACAAATATTGTAGAAGCACTGCTTAGGGGAATGGTTGAACTGGTCGATTGGTTCAGCGTTAAGTTTTCCAGTCCAGCAGAAGGCTGGACCAGCCAGTCTTCCGCTCCCAAGTGGTGGGAAGTACCGCCAACGCCCCCCTTATTTCCCTATTTGCAACTTCTTCCTCCCTTTTTCCTGGTTGCCGCCCAAAAGGGGAAACCTTCCCTTCCTATTTTATCTATTAGCTGCTATATATGTGTGTTTTTGCTGAATTAGGGTTATGCTTTGGTGAGTTTTCAATTCAGATTTATGTGGAAGTCTTTATTTTCCCTTGCGAGGGCTGTATCTGACGACAGGTGGTGCTCCGACTATATTCTGCTCTGAGGTGAAGTTATGTCATCTCTGATTTCCTCCTTACCATCATCCTCACCTTCTCTTACCGCCGGCAAGCCGCTCTTCGCCGATGTACCTCGCTGCAGCCGCCCGCAATAGCCCTTGGGCTGCTGTTTCCTGCAGTTCTCCACATGTCAGCCACCTTCCCCACCCTTCTAGTAGTACTGCCGTCCATATCGCAGCTCCTCTCAGCTGTCCCAACCTTCCCACTGCGCCACTGCCACCCAGGATAGCCAAGAAACACCTCCTTCCCGTTGTCCTCTCGCTATCCATCCCCACTCCTCACTGCCATCACCCAGGACAACCTCCTAACTTGTTTTCCATGCAATTCTACACTTCCCCCTCTCCCCTCTCTGCCACCAGCATACCTTTGCTACCACCAACCCCGCCAACCATCCCGAACCACCTAGCTGACCTCCACAACTCTATGATACACTTTAGGGATGCTTGCTTGTGTCGTTTTATATTTGCTATCCTTTATTTCATGTTTGAAGAGTCGTTGTAACCCTATTTGAATTAAGCAATAATAATTTTATTTTTGTTGTTGTTTGAGTTGGTATAATTTGATATCAGAGCTAACCTAACCCTAATCCTATCCTAGAGTTTCCTAGCTCCGCCATAAACCAAAAAAATGCGGAACAGAAAACTGATGTACATCTCTCTTGTCTAGACATCTGACGAGGAGTGCCATGCGGAACAAAAAATAACCTTTGAATAACTCCACGTGATATTTCCGACATGGCACAAAATGACCTCATTTCTGGCATATTGGACATCCCTTTGTAAGGGTAACTCAAAAAAGGGATCTATACATCTGGAAAATAAGCAATGCTCTAATCTGTAGTGGCCCTGTATTTGTGGTTAGCTCCTCAAACTCGTAAGCCTTGTAGACATCCAAGGTCGGGCGTGCTGATGTTCCTCTAAAAGTCTGCAAAATATTAGTTCGAGGCACTAAAATCTCATACATTGTTGGATTGCCCATTATCTCCGAGTCACTATCTTCTAGATACGCGACTGTTATCTCAGCTGGAATCTCTTCTCGTGATCAACTGGAATTTGTGGTGTCTCTTCCTCGTGCTCAGCTAGGACTAAGTGTATATTATCATCCTCAACTGAAATCAGGTTCTTGTTTATGTCCTCATTATTTTTAGTGTCTGCCGTATCTTTACCAAACTTTTCGATGATACCCTGCTCAGTGAAGTAGAGCACTCTCCTGATTGTGCATTCTGCTTAAACATATCCAAATCCGTGAAACTTAGAACATTTTCTGGCAACGACAAAATTTTGGATTGGTTTCGCTGAATAGTAACTAGGAGGTCGCTTGGTGTTGCAGCCTCTCCACTTTAGAAGCCAGGATCCGTAACTTTTGGCGGTAGTAAGTTGGTAGGAACTAACGATGTGTTTCCCGCTTCTTCACATCTTCTCATTCCGCCCTTTAACCTTTCGAATCACGGTCGATAGTAGCCTCCCATTGGATTTCATCTTCCACATCCGTAATCAAACACCGAAGTATCTCCTCTCGTGAAGGCTCGGGTATGTATCTCAATGGTGGCATGGCAAGGGATTAAGGAATACGAAAGAAAAATTTTAGTGGGGTTAGGGTTTGGGTTGTGGAAAGGATATCTGGTGGTAGGAAAGAGTTTTGGTTTATGACGGATGCTAGGGATCCCTAGGATAGAACTAGGGTTGGGCTACCTCTGATACTAAATGATATCAGAGGAAAACTCAAACCACGACTCAAATTGCAACTATTATTACGGAACACCACAAGGTTACAATGACGACTCTTCAATAGGAAATAACACAGCACAGGTAAACATTAAACAATAATGAGGATTGCTGAAATTAAGGAAAAGGCCATAACATAAAACAAAAATAGCTCTTTGTGATGGGTACGATAGAGCGAGGATGGAACAGTGGTGTTGGAGACCGCGGGGAAAAGGCCGGGAAGACTGGTGGCTGCTCGGAGGAGTCGGACAAGTGGCCTGGAGGTGTTGGAGAAGACTGACGACCAGCTGGAAAGGAACCAGAGGGTGCGGCAAGGCTAGCGGGCTTCAGAAAGAGTTGGCCAAGAGTAGGGAAGAGCTGGAAAGGCTGCTGGTAGGTGGTCAATGAGGAAGACAGCAACAAGGAGTCTAGAGGGAAGGAGCAATGCTGGTAACTGCGGTGGCTGGATTATGAAATGACAGCAGGGAAACAAAAGTATGGTAAGATAAATGCTTTGTTGGGGTCAAACTAAAGTCGTAGCACCACTCAGACCCTTGGAGATGGTCACCATGTAGAATGAAGAACAGTCGAAGCACTTCCTCGCCTTCGGATACAACCCTTAAAGAGAACAATGCCAACAACGGTAATTTGAGTTAAGAAATCACTTAAACTTAAAAAACTGAGAAAATCCAAGCATACCAACTCTTATTTATAATGAGGCTTGGGATTTATTTTAGGCAATATTTTAAAATAAGAAAGTGAATAAAAATAATAAGAATTCATAATTTAGGCAATGATTATAATATGAAGAATTCAGAATAGGCAAAGACCAATAAAAATAATAGAAATTCAGAATTAACAACTGCTAAGAAGGATAGATGAGAAAAGGAAAGAGGGAATAGGAGAAAAAGGAAAGGGAGGGGGAGCATGCACAGCAATCGTTGTTTGTGGGCCATGAAAAAGCTTTAAGTTTTACAACAAGCTTTTTCTTTTTCTTTCACTTAGATAAAAACTTGAAAAAAATGTTTTCATATAGGTTAAAATCCTTTCTTATATCTAACATTTTTTGTCATAATTAAAAAATATATAATGACGCTCCTATATAATGAAAATAAATGGTTCCCCTTATATAATGAAAACTTAGGTTGATTGTGGGCTATGAAAAAGCTCACCTGGGTCTTTTAATATAATATGAATATAGAAGAGTTGTTCTAGGCTGAATTTTCAAAAGACAAATCAGATATAAAATAAAACCTTACAAAAATATTTAGCTAAAACTTTATTATTGGGTTTAAGATTTTTTATAGATGTGAGCCACTATGATTAATTAGATCTCTCGATCAAGGGAGAGTTTGATTAAGGTTAGTTGGTAGGCACTAAATACTAACCTTAAAGTAGTAACACTTTAATTTGGAAATGAGAATAATCAAATGTAAGCTTTAGAGCAAATGGTGGCAGAATGAAGATCAAATCAATTAAGATCTTATGATTCCATTATCCCAAGTTGATATGCCCCTGATTTACTTAGAAGAGATCAACCACCTAACTTAAATGAAAAAAACGTTACAAAAAATCATGTGTTGCATTTTCTATAAAAGGATATCAAAGACCTATGGTAGAAACTTTCCAAATAGGTCAATTTAAACTACTTTGGCTAATAGAGGCTTCATGCCCTATCAAGTGCAACTTATGGTTCACTACTCATGGATTGGCCAGTGAAGAATATATAACTTTTGGTCGTGAGCATAATATAATAACAAAATTTTGCAGCAAATAATCGAGTCAAAGGATACATGCACGTCCTTATTGGTTATAGAATTTTTAGTTTGATTATATATTAATACATATGACATGACATTAGCTCTTATTAACTTTAGTTAAATTTAACTTTCTCATTCCAGACAAATTGACATGTAGTATTAAATTCTTATTCGGTTTGCAATCATAAGCTTAAAAGATGATAATAGGCCCTCCAATTATGATGTGCATTAATAATGTCTGTCATAAGGGACGTTTCAAACCTTATCAACTACTTATTTTTGCATGAGATTATGTTCATAATTGAATGTGTATCATTTGGGTCCACTAAAACATTTATAACACTAAAAGCCTTGTTGATTACGTCCACATATATAGAGAATCAGGCCTAAAATGATTGGGATTTACATGCTTGTGTTATATATAAATGGTAG